AACAATGAAGCACACCGTCTCCAGCCCTTTCATCAGAATACAGCTCAACAAAAGTATGGATTGCATGTGTGGCAAGCATCTTATATTGTGCGTCACATATGTGAAAGTGGACACAGTTGTCTGTGAGTTTTCGTCGCTTCTCACTGTGGAAAAATGAGACGCCGGCGACCTAACAGAAGTGATGCTGACGCACCTAGATGTCAGAATCAACAAGGGTGGTTCCACTAGCAAAGGGGTTGGGTACAAGTAGGAAACCCTAAACTTACTGTACCCCATAGTAACTACCCCACTGCAGCCTAAAAAAACTGCAGATATAACATTTGACACAAGACCAGTCAGGAAAGGCAAAGTGGGGGAGAACAAGTGGTCACAAGACCAGTCAAGAAAGGCAAAGCAAGCTCAGGGTGGATCACAAAGTCACCACACACTCTGAGCACAAGCAAAGGGCCACTAGGCCAGTTCACATGCAGAGGCATATATGCAACACAAACATTACAATTATCTCTACCTAGCAAGAGCAAGCATGCAGGTATATATATATAGATCACAGTACAAGCAAGGCCTACAGCAAGTGAGGAAACGTAGGCACGAGGCCCAACAAAGTACAAAAGCGCTGATGATCACCAGACGGAAGTGCCTTGGTAAATATATCAGCAGTGTTGGCCCGAGTGGCCACGTGCCGCAGACGAAGCTGACCACGCTGCTGCAACTCTCGAGCCAGGAAGTAACGCAGAGCGATATGCTTCGTTCTGTGCTCCAGTCTGTGCTCCTGACACAAGGCAATGGCGGCCTTGTTGTCAATGTATAGCACTGGAGGAGAACGAGGCTGCTCTCCCAAGTCAGTCAGCAGGTAGGTAAGCCAGCGTAACTCCTGTGCAGCCACGGCTGTGGCGTAGATCTCAGCCTCACAACTGGAGCTGAGAACTGAAGACGAGCGTGTAGAACGCCACGAAACTGAACCGGAGCCAAGGCTGAAGGTGTAACCCTGTGACGACCGCTGTGTAGCCTGGTCGTTAACCCAAGAAGCGTCTGAGTGCCCAGTGAAAGCAATTGGGCTGGTCCCTCCCAGCACTAGCCCCATGCCAGATGTGTTGCACAAGTAGCGCAGTACCCTCTTAGCAGCAGCCATGTGCTCAGGTCGGTGCCGACCAGGAGCCACGTAGCGAGCCAGAAGACCAAGAGGGTACGCGAGGTCAGGTCGAGTGCAAGTCATCAGGTACATGAGGCAGCCAACTAGCTCTGGGTAAGGACCACTCGGCTCTACGGACTCGTCCGAAGGTGGAGCTGAGAGCGTGTGACCTGTAGCCAGAGGAGTGGCCTGTGCTGAGGACCAGGTGAAGCCGAAGCGCTGAAGGACCTGCTGCACCATGTGTGACTGAGTCAGGGTGATGGTGCGGCGTGCTCTGTCCCGGGTGATCTGCAAGCCAAGGTAGCTGCGCAGCTCACCCAAGTCTGTGCACGTGTGTCTCTTCTGCAGCTCTGACTTCACGTGGGCGAGAGCCTCAGTGTCAGCAGTGGCAAAAACCAAGTCGTCGACGTACACGAGGATGTAGAACGGCGGCAGCAAAGTGTCGGTGCGCAGAAACAGCGACGGGTCAGCAGTAGAAGGCACGAACCCAAGAGCCGCAAGTGCAGTCCTCAGTGTGTCGTGCCACTTACGTGGCGCCTGGCGGAGACTGTAGACCGGCCGCCGGAGGCTCCACTGGGTATCAGGAGGGAACGACCCAGTGAAGCCCGGGGGGCGGCGCAGCCAGATCTCCTCATGCAGGCTGCCCTGCAAGAAAGCTGTGCTGAAGTCAAGAGAGTGAAGCTCGTAGTCACGGTGAGCGGCAACGTGCAGCAGCACCCGAAGAGTGGTCATCTTCGGGGTGGGGGAGAAGGTCTGGAAGAAGTCTACTCCCTCTCGCTGACTGAAGCCTCGAGCAATGTAACGAGCCTTGAAGACAGGTGGAGAACCTGGCGGCCGCTTCACCCTGAAAATCCACATGCCACTGACGATGTTCGCCCCAGGAGGGGGAACCTCGTCGACGTAGGTGCCTGTGGACTTCCAGGAAGCCATCTCTGCGTCCATGGCGAGTACTCACCCGCGATCGCCTCAGCGTAAGAGCTCGTGGTCGGGATATCTGGTGCATCCGGGTCTCCCTCAGGTGCAATCAGCATGGACACGAGATGAGGTACAGCAGCGGCAAAGCACTCAAACTCCTCCTGCCTGTCCTCAAGGACGTCCGTGCCAAGAGCACACTCACCCCCGACGGACGGAGGACAGACAGACTCAGACTCAGCAACAAGATTCGCGGCGTAGTCTAGACGACAGTGAGCAGCAAAGTCGACAAGCTCAGCAACTAGGGCAGACGCAGCAGCGGACTCAAAGGAAGGGTCAGTGACAACAGTGGCCAGGAGACGCGTGACAGTAGGGTGAGCAGCACGAACACGGTCAGACTCAGGGTCTGGAACGTCAGGCAGAGAAGACGCAGGAGGGGACGGGAGAGGGACACGCCGTGGAGCAGTGGACGGACGAAGTGCCATCTGGTGCGTGCCAGGGACTGGAGGGGGACGCGAACGCGAGATACGACGACCATTGCGAGCAGTGCGAACAGGCGACGCAGGACGAGACGCAGGCTCACGACGCTCAGCAAGACCTCCTGTCGGACCAGTGTAAGGAGAAGGAGCAGGCAGTGGGGAGGCGGGCTGTAACGGCAGCTGTGACGGGACAGGCGGTGGACACTCCAAGGGAGGAGCAAGACCAGGAGGAGGCGGGAGACCAAGAACCTGCTGAAGGAGTGGTACGAAGTACGGCCGCGGCCGCGCAGCGCCTCCAGAACCAGCAGAGACAGCACCAGCACCCCCAGCGTCAGCTCCAACTCCTGCAGCACTACCAGCTCCAGCAGCGCCAACTCTAGTATCCCAAGGAGCACCATCTCCAGCAGCACTGTCAGCACCTGCACCTCCAGCTCCAGCCCCTGCAGGACCACTAGCGATAGCACCAGGAGCACCTCCAGGAGCTCCCGCTCCAGCAGCACTCGCTCCTCCAGTAGCTCCAGCAGCACCTCTAGGCTCAGCAGCTCCAGCACCACCAGCGCCAACCCAAGGGTCGGCAGCCACACCAGCAGCACTGCGGCGGCGGCAGTACCGAGAGTACCACTCACGCAGCTCCAAGGAAGAGAGAGCGCCTCCAGGCGCAGCACGGTCAGACGCAGCACCCCCAGGCTCAGTACCCCCAGGCACAACACCCCCAGTCACAGTCCCTCCAGGCTCAGTACCTCCAGGCTCCGCACCCCCAGTGTTAGCACCCCCAGGCTCAGCACCTCCAGACTCAGCACCCCCAGACTCCGCACCCCCAGGCTCAGCACCCCCAGGCTCCGCACCCCCAGGCTCAGCACCCCCAGTCTCGGTACCACCAGACCCAGCACCACCAGGCTCGGCACGCTCAGGCTCAGTACCTCGCGCAGGACCAGAGTCGACAGCTACCTCGACAGGCTCGACCGGGTCTACCTGGGAAACACCTGAGGGAGCAGGACCCTGGGGAGGCAGGGGGTCTATCGAAGCAGCACCTGGCGTGAGGAAGAGCGGTGGAGGAGGGAGCGGGGCAGTGCGGTAGGGGAAGAGGCGGTAGAAGGGGACCGACTCGTCAAACGTGACGTCCTGAGAGGGGAAGACACGGCGCGAGGCAGGGTGGTAAAACTGCCAGCCAGACGCGTCAGGGACAAAGCCAAGGAAGACACAAGGGTGAGAGGGTACCGGAGGAGAGCTTGTCCGCGGACGCATCGCGGACAAAGGCACGAGATCCCCAGACTCGGAACACAGGTGTCCGGGTCGGAGACACGGGGCCAGAGGTTGAGCTGATGCGCGGCGTACCGGACCGCAAACGGCCACAGAAAATGGGGGGCAGCCGCATGGACCAAGGAGGTTTAGCGACCTCCATGACCAGGCCAATGCGGCGCTCAGCAACCCCATTCTGCTGTGGAGAGGCCGGAAGCGTGAACGTCTGCTCAATGCCCTCCCCCTGACAGAAGGCTCTCAAGAGGTCAGAGGAAAACTCACCACCTCTGTCAGAGTGCAGTCGCAGGACTGGAAGGTCCGAGCGAAAGCAACTCTCCAGCTGGAGACGGGTAGCGCGGATCCAAGGGATCAAGACATCAGGGACCTCACCCTTGGTGCGCAAGGGGAAGACCGTGGTGTAACGCGTGTAGTCGTCAACAACCAGCAGAAAGTAGCGCTCCCCGCCCTGTCCATGTGGAGTGTCTGCAGAGGAGCCTCTTTCGGGGTAAACTCGGAGGAGTGAGGAGCGGCGCGCTGCCGCCCCTCGACACAGGGAAGACAGGGAGGAGCAGGCGAGGGCGGGAGGGGAGGGAGAACCCTGGGAAGACCAGAGACAAGGAGGCGACGGTGCATGCCGCTAAGGCACTGCACTGACGGGTGACCAAGGCGGTGGTGCCAGAGGACAGTCTGGTGTGACAGGGAGCGACACAAGCAGGGGGCCGACAGCTGACCTGACGCAGACGCAGACGCAGCGACCTGAGGGGACTCAGTGGTCAGTGTGTACAAGTCCGACCCCGGCTGCCGAGTGAAGGTAGCCAGGTGACGACCCGTCTGGGCACACGTGCAGTGCGTCACACGCTCGTAGGCAGGGGTGAACTGGTGAACACCCGCGTCCTGGAGCGCGGAGCCCCCCACCAAGTTCGTAGAGAACGAGGGGAGGTAAAGGCCCGACAGTGTGCCAGACGGGACAGCAGGACAAGGGAGGGCAGTGGTGGAGGTCGCAAGGACCGGACCCCCGGAGGGGTCAGCCAGGGAGACAGCAACCGGTCTAGGAAGCTGCTCGAGGGCAGTGCGGTCGCGAAAGAAACAGCGGGAAGCACTTGAGTCCAGTGTGAAGGTGTGCAGTGCCGTAGTAGACGTCGTACCTGAAGGCGCAGACTCACAAGCACCTGAGGCAGCAGACACACCTGCACCTAGAGCAGCAGTCTCACCAGGACCTGGGGCAGCAAACGCACTAGCACCTAGAGCGGCAGCCTCACTGGTCGCAATGCCTGGGTCTGGTGGCACACACAAGTAACAGTCACCCTCAACACCAATAATTAATACATATATGGCTCGAAGGATAGCATCAAAGTCAAGTGCAAAGACATCAATGCTCTTTTTAAGCAGATCAGCCCAGCGGGGCAGCTCAGAGGCCTCAAGGAACTGTGCACGCCAGGCGTCGTCGAGACGCGAGAAGCAGCGGTGCGACGTGTGGAATCGCCCACACGTCTGACCAGCGCGGTCACCGGTGCGGATGACATACGTGCAGGTGCCTCCACCCCCAGACCCCCCATGCTGAGAGTACCACTCACGAAGCTGCTGGGACGACGGGGTCTCTCTAGGACGCTGCTGCTGGCGCTGGGCACCACCCGAGCCTCCACGCTGCGCTGCGCCACCCCGACCACCACCCGAGCCACCGCCACCACGCCCACTGCCGCCACCACCACCACCTCCATCCCGGCCTCCTCCACCACCACTGCCGCCACCACCCCCGCCGCTGCCACCGACCCCCCCAGCCCCGCCACCACCCCCACCACCGCTACCACCCGCACCGCTCCCACCGCCTCCACCCCCACCGCCACCTCCGCCTCCCCCGCTGGTACCGCCACCACCCTTGCCCCCCTTGCCCTTGCCGCTCTTGCGCCTCCAGCTAGGAGCAGACGCAGCTCCGACTTCCTCAGCACCGAGGAAATCGATAGCGGCAGCAGAGGCGACAGAGGGGGGAAGGGGGGAAGCGGAACACCCGTCAAAGAAGGGTGTGCGGGGGTCGCCACAAGAGGCACCTACAGCAACTATACTAGCCTCAGCTGCAAGCAGATGCTTCTCGAGCAGGTCAATGGTGAGCTCGGTAGGGCAGAGGGCGAGAAAGTGGTCCCTGACTGCGCGAAGAGAGTCAGGGAGACGGGTGACTAGGTGGTAGAGAACGAGGTACATCGGTGGGGGGGGGGGGTCTTGGCGAGGAACTCGGCAGGAAGGGCGGCACGGAAGCGAGTGTCACTGGTGCTGAGGTGGGTAATGAGGTCAGCGACTGTGGGAAAGGCGGCGAGATCGGGGAAAAGATAGGGCAGAGAGAGACGGCCTATCGTAGCGGAGGCAGGTGAGGAGTAGCGAGCGACGACAGCATCGTACAGGGCCTTAGCAGTCTTGTGCTGGCCGAAGTGTGCGCGCTCATCTAACGGCAAGTGGCTGCGAATGGCTAGGCGAGCGTGGGCGTCACGAGTCTGCCACTGGGAGCGAGCTGTACTGTCAGCAGTGTCAGCAGGTGCTAGAGCGGTTCCGGACGCGTGGTCATACAGCGAGACATCGTCCTTAGCGGTGATCTGGAGGAACAGGTGCAGATCATATAGCCAAGCTTCAAACTGGAGCGGACGGCCCTCAGCATCGAAAGAGAGAACTGTGGGAGAGGCCATAGTGGCAGTAGCAGCAGTAAGAGCAGTAGTAGTAGCAGCTGTAGTGAGAAGAACAGCTGTAACAGCAGGAACAGGGAACAATAGTAGGTGCTGCAGGTGGGGCGGCGCGGCTCGGGCAGGTAGGGCGGCGCGACGGCGGGCCGTTCTCGCTAGAATTTGCACAAAAAATCTTTATCTTGCCTTGTGCCACTGCATTGCTCATCGGTAAGAGGTTTTATGTAAAACGTTAACCTTTTCTTTGTTTTTGTTTTTCCTTTGTGTTTATGCAGGGAGCAGTTTGCTGCAAAAGAAGCTGCACTCAAAGTGGATGAGTTTAACAGCGTCGATCAAGCCATCCATGGCGTTGCGGAGCAGTTATCGCGAAGCGGTGTGTGGCACTAGAGATTCAGACAACTGCAAGAGATTACATGCAAAACCTATCTAAAACTGCAAGGGATACATGCGGTGCAGTGGCTTTCCCAACGGGAGACCGTAAAAAGGTTTGCCCGGGCTCTGCCCGCGACCGTGGGCTGCTACACGAGAACAAGCATGAGCTGTACGAGGTCGCCACATCGTTAAGCCTTATTAGTTGAGTCATTCCCAGCCTGCATGCTTTTTCCCAATGGGTTCTTCTTTTCAATATTTACGATATCTGCAGCCATAGCTCCAGGTTAAATCTCGGCCTCATTGCTCGAACTAAGCACAGAGGACGAGCGTGTCAAACATTATATATATTGCATTTGTTAGGCTACAGTGGGTTAGCCTATATGGGGTACACAATTCTAGGGTTTGCTATTTGTACTGATTTCTCTGTTAGTTCAATCATTCCAGTCTCGTAATCTTGACATGGTTTCAGAGCAGGTCCTTCCCTAGGACCGTTCTTAAGGGCCCACCGTACGATACCTACCTACCTACCTACCTACCGGAGCGCGTTCTTAGCGTCTCCCCCGTAGCGCCCTCGCGAGCGTTACCTTTTTTTTTCCCGGCCCCGCTGGCCCCGTCGATTGCGATCGCACCTACCGGCCCCGTTGGCCCTCTAGCGAACCGCCCGCGAACCGCCCGTGAACTGCCTGCGCGGCCTGCGCGCCGCCCGCGAACCGCCCGCGAACCGCCCGCGCGGCCTGCGCGCCGCCCGCGAACCGCCCGCGAACCGCCCGCGCGGCCTGCAAACCGCCCGCGAACTGCCCGCGAACCGCCCGCGCGGCCTGCACGCCGCCCGCGAACCGCCCGCTACCTGCTTGCGCGGCCCGCTCGCAGCCTGCTGCCGGCCCGCCGCTGCCGCTCGTGCGCACCCGCAGCCGCCGCCGCACGCACCCGCTGCCGGCCCGCCGCTGCCGCCCGTGCGCACCCGCAGCCGCCGCCGCACGCACCCGCTACCGGCCCGCCGCTGCCGCCCGTGCGCACCCGCAGCTGCCGCCCCACACCCTCGCCTGCAGGCCCGCCACTGCCGCCCGTGCGCACCCGCAGCCGCCGCCGCACGCCCTCGCTGCCGGCCCGCCACTACTGACTGGCCGCACCTGCAGCCGCCACCGCACACCGCTACTGCCGGCCTACCACCGCAGCCCGTGCGCCCCTGCGACTCCTGCTAGTGCGTCTTTACAGCTACAGTGGCTCTACTCTGTCTGCTACTGCTACTATCGCTATGGCTAGCCCTCCCGTTCTAGCTTTCGACGCCGAGGGCCGTCCAGTGAAGTTCGAAACCTGGCTCGATGACCTGCACCTGTTCCTACAGCTCACGGCCAAGGAGGATATTTCTCTGTACGACCATGCTCTCGGCCACGCTACTGCCCCTCTTACTACTGCTCCCCCCACTGAGCGCTCACAGTGGCAGACACGTGACGCGCACGCTCGCTTCGCCATACGCAACTCCCTGCCGCTAGATGAGCGCGAGCACTTCGGCCAGTGCAAGACTGCTAAGGAACTGTACACCGCTGTCGTTGCCCGCTACTCCTCACCCGCTTCTGCCACGCTAGGCCGCCTCACTCTCCCCTACCTGTTCCCCGACCTGGCCTCCTTTCACACAGTCGCAGACCTCATCACCCACCTTAAGACTAGTGAGGCCCGCTTTCGCGCTGCCATGCCTGACGAGTTCCTCGCTAGCAACCCCCCCCCGCTCTGGATCACTCTCTACCACATCGTCACTCGCCTCCCTGACTCTCTGCGCGCAGTCAGGGACCACTTCCTCTCTCGCTCCCCCACCGAGCTCACCGTAGCCCTCCTCGAGAAGGAACTGCTTGCAGCTGAGGCCAGTATCGTCGCTGTAGGCACCTCTCGTGGCGACCCCCGCACCCCGTTCTTTGAGGGGTGTTCCCCTTCCCCCCTCCTCCCCTCTGTCGCCTCTGCTGCTGCTGTTGACCTTCTTGGTGCTGAGAAGGTCGGGACCGCGTCTGCTTCGAGCGGGCGCCGCAGGAACAAGGGGGGCAGGGGTGGGGGTGGCGGCGGAGGAGGTGGGGGTGGAGGCGGTGGGAGTGGAGGCGCGGCTGGGGAGACTAGTGGCGGCAGTGGGGGAGGAGACAGCAGCGGTGGGAGTGGTGGTGGAGGCAGCAGCGGAGGCGGAGGTGGTCGTGGCGGCGGCAGGGGTGGAGGTGGCCGGGGCGGCGGCGGTGGGGGTGGTGGTCGTGGAGGCACTGGCGGAGGCCCGAGTCAGCAGCCCGCCCCGACGCTTCAGGCCGCCCGTGAGTGGTATGCGCAGCGTAGCGTTACCTGCACGTACGTCATTCGCACAGGTGACCGCAGCGGCCAGCAGTGTGGGAGGCCGCACCCCACGCAGCGCTGCTTCGCGCGCCTTAACGACGCGTGGCGCACTCAGTTTCCTACTGCCACTGAGCTGCCGCGCTGGGCTGATCTGGAAAAGAGGGGTGTTGATATTTGGGCTTTAGACTTTGATGCTATTCTCACTGCCATGTATGCGATGTCTATTAGTGGAGAGGGTGCTCAGTACTTGCGTGTTCCGCCCGACCCGGGCATTCAGGCCAGTCCGGCTGCCGCTCTAGGTGCTAGTGCGTCTGCTCCCACAGGTCCTGGTGAGGCCGCTGCCCTAGGTGCTCGTGCGTCCGTGCCCCCTGGTACTGAGTCGACTGCAGCACTGCACACCTTCACACTGGACTCAGGTGCTTCTCGCTCCTTCTTTCGTGATCGCACTGTCCTTGAGCCACTCGCTCGGCCAGTTGCTGTCTCCCTTGCTGACCCCTCTTGGGGTCCGGTCATTGCGACCTCCTCCACTGTCCTTCCTTGTCCGGCGGTCCCGTCCGGCACGCTGTCAGGTCTCTACCTCCCCTCGTTCTCTACGAACTTGGTGGCAGGTAGTGCGCTCCAGGATGGGGGTGTTCACCAGTTCACCCCTGCCTACGAGCGCGTGACACACTGCACGTGTGCTCGGACGGGTCGCCACCTGGCTACCTTCACTCGAGAGCCGGGGTCGGACCTGTACACACTGACCACTGAGTCCCCTCAGGTAGCTGCGTCCGCGTCTGCGTCTGCGTCAGGTCAGCTGTCCGCCCCCTGCTCGTGTCGCTCTCTGGCGCATGAGACTGTCCTTTGGCACCACCGCCTTGGTCACCCGTCTGTGCAGCGCCTTCGGGCTATGCACAAACGGGACCTTGTTGCTGGTCTTCCCAGGGTGCTTCCTCCCCTTCCTGACTCGCCTGCTCCTCCCTGTATTCCCTGTGTCGAGGGACGGCAGCGCGCCGCTCCTCACTCCTCCTCCTTTCCCCCGACGACTGCTCCCTTGCAGACGCTCCACATGGACGTGTGGGGCCCAGCCCGCGTCCGTGGTCAGGGCCAGGAGAGGTACTTCCTGATTGTTGTTGACGACTTCTCGCGCTACACCACGGTCTTCCCCTTGCGCGCCAAGGGTGACGTCCCTGATGTCTTGATCCCTTGGATCCGACGGACGGAGGACGGACAGACTCAGACTCAGACTCAGCAACAAGGCTAGCAGCGTAGTCTAGACGACAGGCAGCAGCAAAGTCAACCAACTCAGCGACCAGAGCAGACGCAGTCGAGGACTCAAAGGTAGGGTCAGTGACAACAGTAGCGAGGAGACGCGTGACAGTAGGGTGCTCAGCACGGTACCGGTCAGACTCAGGGTCCGGAACATGAGGCAAAGAAGACGCGGGAGGAGACGGTAGAGGGACACGCTGAGGAGCAGTAGAGGGACGCAAAGTCATGTAGTGAGTGCCTGGGACAGGAGGAGGACGCTCACGACGGACACGACTACCAGTGCGAGCAGGACGGACAGGCGACGCAGGACGAGACTCAGGCTCACGACGCTCTGTAAGACCTCCTGTGGGACCAGTGTAAGGAGAGGGAGCAGGGAGAGGCGAGGTAGGCGGTAACTGTGACTGCGACTGGACAGGCAGAGGACACTCTACGGAGGGAGGAGGACAAGGAGGAGGAGCCTGCCCAAGAACCTGCTAAAGGAGCGGTACGAAGTACGGTCGCGGCCGCGCAGCGTCTCCAGAAGCAGAGGAGACTCCAGCGGCCGGGTCAACAGCACCAGCAGCAGCTCCACCAGTCGGGTCCTCAGCACCAGTAGTAGCTCCA